GTAGGCAACGTATACATGAAAAGTCGCGAAAGATCAAAACTCGTAGTTTTGAACAAAAGCAAAAAACTGAAACGCAAAACTGAGCTTTTCTTCTATATAATTCTAATATTCTAATGTTAACTCCAACTTAAAGACCTCCCAGCGCAAATACCCAACTAAGATGTTCCTATTGTATGTAACGGATACAATGATACTCTTGCATATCTTTGCATTGATCAATAGGAACATACTGAATTCGATAGTGAAGGAAAAGGAAAAAACAGGCACCGTTTTCGAAAACTGTTGTTGGATTGCGTTAGGTATACATTAAGGCTAATATAAGTGACCTTCGGATTTACTTCGTTGGTGTAAAGCGTTATTACAGTTAAATACATAGTTCGATAGAACTAAGCTTGCACAGAGTACTACCGAGTTATATACGCATATACGTATGTGTTAATATTGAACATATCCAGCAGTTCTACCCAAAAACAATCGTTTCCTATTTCTATGCTGTAGGAATTTAAAAATGATATGATATTATCTAGCTCATATACGCAATTCGTTCAATATCATTTATGCTTACGTTTCTCTAAAAACTTTAAAATGACGTCAGAGATGGGCTTTTCGGACGCTGGTACAATTGGGCCGTTCATTGTAGCTTACTTCGTGAAGCGTTCGGTGACGGAATTGTGCGCGCGATCCTCGACTTTTTTTATCGGCCGCACGGCGACATAACAAGGTCTTGGCATACCAATTTGACAGGATTTTTTACCGCGTCGACCTTCGTTTTGTTTATTTAGCCATTGAAGAAAAGCTTGGCTTAACATAGCCTGTAAGCCTACTTCATCGAGACACCCGACGAGAATCGGTGTAAAACGAAATGCGCAAACACTATAGTACCTGACTGGGTAAGTGACATCAATTTGTGATAAGTCTTGTCCTAATTGTTGTAGTATTCTGGCAAAAAAGTCGTGCTTATTCCCTTTGGTAGCACGCGTGCAAGATCGATCAACAATGAAGTTGAGTAGATTATGTTAAGCGTTGTGGTCATATATATCTAACGACCCCGGTGAACCATAACTTTCCAAGATCATACGAAGTTAATTATAAGGCACAACAGAAAAAGAAGCAAAAACACGCTTAACTGTGCGAATATACTTGGAAAGTTTGACTGAATGCACTGTTTACCATTCTGAGTAATAATCCAAATTCAAAATTTTTTGGTGCTTGTGCGCCATCCATTTGAGTAGATCGTTTTTCTTGGCACTATTAAAATTAATCTACGTCATGAGCTTCTATTTTTGAAACCCACAAAGAGAATTAACAAGACCCATTAGGATTGACATTGGACATAAACACTAAGATAACATCAATAATCTGCACCCGTACATTGGTGGCAAGTCTTCACCAGCTTTCACTTGAAATGACCTTTAAAGGTTACTTCGTTGTTCTTTATAATAACAGTAAAGTGACCATTTGTTTGCTGCCGATACGAATAAAATGGCTACTTTTTAACAATGTGGCGAGCTGCATCGGTTGCTGCTTTAGAAGGTTTAGAACGATGCCTAATGAAGCTATGCAAGTAACCCGGAATTTATCGTTCCACTGTTAGAGAATCCCGAAACAGAAATTCGAAATTTTAAGCGAAACCTCGGTCCTACACTACGACTTCGATGATTCCACGTAATAATCAATAGATGCACAAAAAGCGTTGATGTATCAGCTATGACTTTGACGCTAACGACTTTGAAGCCTTAAACTAGTCTTGTATCTAGCAATTTCGTTGAGTGAATAGCCTCCACTACTGTCCAAGAATTAACCTTCTGTAACGGAAATTTGTCCACAAGCACTTGGTTACGAAAAACCACATCCCTCTTAACTATTGTGTTGGTGCGGTGATTGTTGTCAAAAAGGATATATAAACGAATCTGTGCTAAATAATCCCCGTGTTAAAGGGGGACAAACTCATGGCAGGACAAATAGGCAAGCGGCGCTACTGGAATCTGAGTATCGTAATCGTTTTGTCTGTTACTCAGTTTAATGCTAGTATTCTCGTGCGATGCCTATACGGTGATAATCTGGTTTTAGCCGCTCACATGTGTTTGACTATTTATTGATGAGGCACTACGCTTTAGCGATACTCATAATAGCTAGAGTCGGTTCTCCTGTGAAAGCCGAACTCGCTAAAACTGGGTATAAGGACTGGGAAAATCGTCTTGCGGGTGATGTCCCATTCAATCAATAACTGGTCAATACACTCAAAAGTGTATGAAACTGTAGCATCGGACTAAAACAAAGGATGGTAGAATTTCAAAAAACAATTCAGCTTTAATCTGACGATATATGAATTTACAACTCACTGAGAGTAGCCAGAGGTTTTAGTAAGTACAAATCTCAGGAGTACTAATTTGTTCATACGTCCACATAGGAGCAGGCAGGACCCATCGTGTTTTGATTCAACATCTGATTGCGTATAGAATCCATACTACTCTCGGAACAATACAATTGCCTATACTGCAATTATAATAGAGTAAACAAACAGTAAAAGTTCATTAGCCGTACTTTGAATAGCAATATTTATGGCATACTCCACAATACGCGTTCTATCAAAGCGCCACCTAGAGAATCATTGTTATCATCAACTTAAAAAAATAACGCCTTCCACAATGACCAACTGCTTGCTGTTTCTACCTGCTCATTAGAGAGGAAACTGGGTCTATTGATGACCTCTGCGAAACTTTAGAACAGAGCAGTTAGATCGCGTAGCAACTCTTTAATGTCATGCTTGTTTTGCTTTTACTTTCTGAATGACAAGATCAGGCCTTCTGTAACTTTGTACCTAGAGCTTAGGCCCAGCTGAAGAGGAAACACTTCGACTAGAGAGTGGAAATTACAGAAAAATTGGAGCGATACTTCAAATCACCAGAAAAGATACCTCTTTGAATCTTTGGTTGAATGGTTGGAAATTTCGTATAGATACTAAAGGCGAAATTACCATGAAATATACTGAAATATAACACTCGTCGTACGGATAATTTTTTTCGTAAATTAAGTCCCCTGGAAAAACAAGCCAGAAAATATTGCAGACAGAAACAGTCTTCTCGACAATACTACTAATTCCCAAAATATCCTTTAAAGAGTATATGACCATGGTTCAGAGAACTGCAAAAAACCTTGAACTCCTTTAAAAGATCCTTGAAAAATGCTCACGAGCCATGATTCGACGTTTAAACGGAGCTGAGCAAAATAAATTGCATTGGAAGGAAATGTGTAATTACGTTTTATTTACCATAAATCGATTCTATATTTATCCTCAGTGGGTCCTAGAAATTATTTTACAGGATTTTTATTGATCTACGATTTCCAAAAGAGGCTCTGACACTAAGTAGTAAAACAACGAGGAAGGTTTCAGTCATCGATTCATCTTTTTTATTTTTGGACTAAAATGCATAAAATAAACACCTTTTGGAAAATGTCATTTTGTCTTTCAACTCATATTTAGCTTTTTAATTCCGTAAATAAGAAGTTGGTATTGATAGAAATATCAATTCAATCATAGAATATAGAATAGAAATCAAGAAAAACATTCTTTTTGTTTTTATACAGAGCAGTGTGCGTGAAGCGCTTGGACACGCCGTTCAATCTACCTACTTTGCAGCGTATTGATAATTTCTATGTATAACATTTTCAAGTTCTTAAATAAATATCTCTTATAGCTTAATGGCCTCTATATGATTACAAAAGGATTTTTATAAAACGTAACTGTCTTTTAGTTTGGTCGTGAATATGCAGCCGTGGTGGCCATAAGCCTAAGACCGAAAAACGGCCTTATTCATTTGCGCGCTAGACAGATCGCACCAAAGTCAAGGCTTTCTTTTTGTCTAAAATAGGCGGTTTACCTTATTGTCAGTTTTCAGTATTTTTCAAATCTAAATCAAAAACAAAAAATTACTGCACAATCTATGAAAGTTTGGCAGCTATGCTAGAGTTTCATTAACCTCATAAGGGTCTTTTAAATTCTTTGAATGAATATAAGTTCTGTGAATATACAGGGATTTCGTTAAAGCAGAATCTTAAGAAATATTGAATTTAAGAAATACTTGCCAACGATTCTAGGCACAATGCACGCTCAAGATATTTCGACATCATTTAAATTTCTAAGCAGGCTGTGACGGATTAACTTGATCGGTGCAAAGATTAGCTAAAAGTTTATGTCGATGATGACAAGAGGATTTGGTGCTAGCGTTTGCTGCGGTGAAGCAATTTAGTTGTGACTTTTCAATATGAATATGCGAATTAGTCGACCTCCTACAGAGTCGGCATTAAAGTGTTTCGAAAAATAACTTCAGAAATAGTCTGAGAAATTCAGTTTCGTCGAGGAAGCATCAGATTGTTGCATGCAAGCTGCATATAATATTTCACCGCTAATTCATTTTCCGATGGCTCGTCACTAGTTTTGTGATTGTGCGCGTCAGTAACAAAATAATTAAAATAATAATAATGATTTTGCGGACGGTTGGGTTTATGCGATTATAAATGCTTTCTTTTAAACAAATACTTCAAGTTTTTACGTCCTGTAGTGACGTTGAACATTATTTCCACCAGTTGAACGATGGCACGCAAGTAAGCATGTTGACGTTCTGTTTTCAAACAAGAACGTCTAAGTTCGTTAGATAAGTGCGTTACTGCGGTAGCATAGAAAAATAAGGTAGGGTAGACAGTAGATGGTCATAAACTGGATGGTAAAAGCACAAAGTCGTAAGGCCTTAAGTGAAGACTAGTCTTTATTTTTAACCTTTATCTACACTTAATCCAGACCTGTCAACCAATACTAGTTAGCTTTGACCAGTAGTTAATTCAAATTATTGCAAATTTAATTCAAAAAGTGCTCAATTGTTGCATGTCTTTTTCTTATGAGAGTTCGTGTTAACATACCGTTCTGTACCGATAATGAATGTCGCTGTACATAACATACGTGCATGCAATATCCCGCGGTACTCATTTGCCTTGAACCTCACCTTCTGCCTTCCTGTAGTCAGTACGAGGAGTCTGAGCAGAGTGTGATTGGATTCAGTGTTTGCAATGCGCATTAACTTAGCTTTTGGCGAACTTCATCTAGAGCTTCTTCATCTAGAACGTTGTCACGTTGGTAATAATGTAGAATAGTACAAGCACGATCCGCTTACACGAGGCTCGGGGACGAGTTTCTTTCAGATGGTTTCTCTCAAACTGCCCTGAGTTCCTCTTCATAGATCTTATTTGAGACGACATATAGGCGCCAGTATGCGTCATGTCGAATATCTGCAAAAACATTCGTTGGTAAGAATATCACCTTAAAATGGAGACTTCTTTAAAAACAGATAATTTGCTTAAACAATAACAGTAAATGTCTATTATATACTTAAGCATTCGCGCTTACGTATATTGGATCCGGCCCCACACAACAGCCACACACAAACAACAACAGCAATAACAAGCCACACGGTCTTGATTAAATGGCATCTGCTTTAGAAGTTGTTCCAAAACAACAGACACATTTACATGTTCATGCAAACATGGACTGATGCGCAACGATCAAGTTTGTGATTTTCGATTAGAGGACTACGTGTTAAAATCATAAAGACGTTCTTCTTGAGTTCGCACGGTTTCATCCTTTCAAATGATTTAGTGGAGTACTTTTTTTGAATAGTTTTTGTAACAATATGAACTCAAGGTTCTAAAATATCGAAGAATTTAGCCGAAGTATCTACTAATACAAACTACTTTATTCGAATCCTATTGAGACGCCAGCAGGCCTAGTGGATGAAGCTCTAGCTTTTGCCCTAGCGTTTTACCTTCGTCGTCTATAAGTATGTGACAACGAGACTGAGAACGCAAATATTTTCACATATTATGAGCAATTTAAGCTTTGCAATGCTTTTCGTAGAAGGCGAAAAGTGCAGAACTTCGTATAAGCGGAATTTCAATTAAATTATGGAGACGGCAACAGGGTTTTTCGTTTTACTGAGTAAATTTGCTGAAACTCAGAAGAAGTCAATATTGAACCACGCCCTCGCCATTTTAACGTCAGATTCGTTTCCGCGAACGAAACAGAAGCTTTGTTGTGGTGCTCCACAGGTAACTCGATAAATTCGACAATCATCATAAAAGCCACGTCTGTGTCTATGATTAAATAAAGTGTGGTATCAAAGCGATCCAAAAAAACCAAGGATAAGTAAAAACCAAAGATATATTCAAAAAGCCAATTCGCAATAATGATAATCTAAACTGGGAGAATATTTTGATATCTAATACTTGCAAAGGTGTATTTTTGTTGTGGTAATTAAGCCAATTTTTAAGTATTTATTAGGACTACGATGGGCTGGCTCCATCAGTAACTAGCGATGTTGTTCTAAAATGAACAGTAATTCATTAACATAGAAGATCGAAGGAGCTAAACAACCACTAGACCACAGCAACCGACTAAGTTCAAATTTTTTTATAGTATTCTACATGTTTCCAGCGGAAGCTAGTTATCCCTAACTTTAGAACGTATTCAGTGTAATTAGTATAAATGGGCTGTCCGATGGGCCGTAACACGCTACGAAACGATCCTCGTAGATTCTCATAACTATAAAGGCAAGGTTAACATATCTAAATTAACGAAACGTTGATACGGTATGGTGTCGCCCATAACAACAAAAAGCGTCGTTACAGTAAGAACGTATTAACTTTCTTTGAGCAAACAAAAAAAAAAACTATGTTTGTGAAATTTTTCAAAACAGATTAAAATTTCATTAATTGGTATGACAGGCAAAGCCTTTTATGGCTTCATTCTGTTCGGCTGCTTTCGCTATAGTTCAGAGAGTTCGGTAACGCGGAACATCATTATCAATATGTTTGAAGGAACATTTACAACGTTTGTTGTTATTGTCTCCTGTTCTTAAGTTTTAGCGGAACCCTTTATATCTAAATAATCGCTTTGGATGAACTATGTCGCTTTAAATCGTTTGAACGTTCACCAGGTCGGTGAGAAAGTAATGACGGCTTTTCGTCATATGCCACCGTTTCCCTTCAGCGATGTGAGGTCTAGCATGCTGTCGGTGATCTCACAACCAATTAATCGATATTAATCGATGAAATTGATCAAAACACAGTAAACATGAAAAAATGTCGTGATTAAAATTTACTCATTATACGTCATTCTTTTAGCTGCCGAATCCAATACTTTTGGAAACAGATCCTACGGAAACAAGCCCTTGCTTATTTTTGCAAGCCAATTATACGTCTCATTAGTAAGGAAGCATGCTAATATTTGGAAAAATAGGTCCGTTTATGGCTGCTGAATTTATCGAAGCTGAATATGATGACGAGAAAATTTGAATTCCGTCCATTCTATAGATAGTGAGGTATTGGGCACTGCAACGCCATGGACACATCGCCATATAGTCGTGAGTGATGGTAAAACCCGGAGTAAAAACCTACTTTGAGACAGGCGGCGTTGATGTCCAGAATTGCCTATTGCATCCGTGATATTAATGACAAGCTATGCAACGTTTTAATGTGGTACAGAGAAGTGCATCATGTGAACCTATCTGACCTAGTACGTGAGTGCTACCCGGCGCACTGCTACAGAGCGTGAGTTCTAATTCTTAATCTTACTATAGAAGAAATAGAAGCGGGTACCCAAAGCACCCAGAAGAATATGAAAAAATGGTATCCATGCCGCCTATTACAGTACTGCACAAGTATGTACATTTTATGCAAAAATCAGACTTATCACGTCAAAATGTTGTTGGAACATATCGTGGTAACTAACCGTTTTTAATTACCTAACAAAATTATTATATGTTCTTGTACAAATCTACATATAATCGAGCACGATGAACTTCTATGTGCAGGTCTTTGTGATCACGTGCTTGTGGGGCGTATCAAAAAGTATCAACAACACAATAGTACGACGATCGGCATAAAATACTGAATACGCAACGAACAACTCCGTAAATAATTTCTTTAACAGAATGTAATTTGTTTAACATTCAGTATCTCTAACAGTTTATCATTTCAAGCGTCATAATATTCTACCAGAATCAGACGTCGAAGAAAAATCAATGAATACATTGTTTTTACGTAGGTAGAAATGAGAGAAGTACTCAACCGCAAAGAAGTGCAACTTCGTTTCTTTTTTAGTCCCTAGTCATGATGGGGTGGTTGCAGAGAGCAATTCTTAGTTCTGTTCATGTTGACAGTTGAACTCATTACAGCACGTTATGCCTAAATTTGAAAGTTTGTGTGCGAACTGCAAAGGGCTGCTGTTTCGGCTATAATATATAATGAGAATGGTTACTCAGCACCGATAGTAGGTCATCTGTGAGTAAAAAAAAGTGCGACTTATGCCTTTAGGCAATAAAGGCCATGGACCAACTACCGATTATTTTAAATTTAAAATAGTGAACGCTATTGTATAAAATATAGTTTGAGAAACACTTTACCTTGGTTTAATCTCATAGACTCACACGACGTCAATATTTTCTCAGTAAATGTCGCTACCAAAATTATTCGCAAAAAAGCTCGTAACTGACATGGCTGTAGTAAATAGATATGCATAGAGTTAGTTATAGTGGAGTCCTAGTGGAGTGACGAGCTGTTGGCAATGAGTCCTATCGATAAATAAGGTATAAGGTCTGATATTGCAATTGTTATGCATTTTTTGACGTCTCGTTTACGTGACGTTTCGGGTACAACTTCTAATCAACGATTGAGTCCATCGGATACATTCGCAGCACGACGAGCAGACGAACTCTCTATTAAATAGGAGGATGAGTATCAGAATACGGATGCCCTTCCCTTTGGACATGTACAGCATAGGGTAACGGGCTTCATCCAGCCAAGAAACGTGATGTCAATAGCAAGACTAAATATTCGCGGGCATTAGCTACTGTGGTTTAGTTCATGATCACAAGATGAAGATCGAGAGATACTAGACGATTGTAACGATGCCCTGTGAGCTGTTTTATATGAATTAAATGTGCTTCCAAACTGTCAATTAGGACAATCTGCAGCGACTCGAGATCCTTGCGAAGCTTCAAGGAAGCCATCGGGATAACCTCAAATAGAATAGACAACAGTGGCAAACATAAATTGTGTGATAAGAAAAGTAAAAGCGCAAATACCTACATTCTGGTTCAGCTCACTAGTCTGATTAACAGCAAGACCAATGCTATGCATTTCCTATAAAGACAATGGGAAAGCAAATCTTGAATATCCAAATGGCACGAACCCTTCGAAAATGTCGGCGACACTCCGGATATCAATAATTTTTTTTTTGAGTATAAAAAACATTCTATGCGTTTCCCGATTATCGTCAAGCAGACGTTTTTCAGCGACTTACTGAGACATAATTATGCTACAAAGTTACGGAGAATGGGCGTTGTAGCATGCACTTTGCGCGTAGCAAGTAAAAGACTAATTTAGGTTGAGTTTCGGTATAGTAACGTAGTTACACAATGTGCTTCCAAAAAAATGTCAACAAATGTATGAAACGTGTAAAGTAGTATATGTCTGCCTACATGTCCTGTTTTTTTGGGCGGGGGGGGGGGGGGGGGTGGTGACAACTTAAATTTCTTAAAAAATATTTAATACTTAAATACCTTTTTCAGTAGACCAAAATACCATTGTTTAGGTCGAGGTACGAACGCTGTGCTGAAACACATCTTTTCCATGTAGATGAGTCTATATCTCATCCGCAGTATTCCTCCTTGTGTTTTATGAAAATGCTTTTTTTTTTTGGCTTGACAGCTCTGTGAAGGTGAAGTGGAACAATTCGACGCATATAGTACAGCAACAAAGAAATAACTATTGGAAAGGCGTAAGTAACTGAAGCCCCTAGTAGCTATGAAAAGTACGTCTGCTGATACTGTGTTTTTTGCATACATTTTTCCACTTGTATATACTGTGAGGACGATATTGTGATTTATCTGTTTTGTTTCTTAAAAAAACACAAAAAACTCACAGGGGTGCACCGGTCATATAGATTTTATATATTCAAGCTTATAGCTGAAAATCGGTATCCACCATAGGGTTAAATATATCTACTTTATGTACGTCTATCTATGTTTCGAGTTTTATGCCTGCCGTTAAGCATAAGGCATTAGACAGCTTCCAGCACGACATGACCCGTATGTCAATGCCCGGGTTCGAACCTAGACCACAACGCATCCCTGAAGAGTTAGCAGGCAAACACATTATTCAATAAGCTATCGCGGAGACCGTGATGTACCTAGGTGCCAAATTCTGGAGGTAGCTGGTTTAAATCTGCCATCTAACTCGCATGTATAGTGTGCGTACGACATGTTTCAATAAACGTATGACGATTTCACAATAACAACGGAAGCTTTACAATAAATAAACTATTACAGAAACAGATAGAACAAAGTGTCGATCAAATAAAACAAGAACTTTAGATTTTACTTGATAGTCGAACAGACTCTACTGTTAACACGTAACGAAGAGTTCGATGCCGTTCTACGTGATACAGCATTATAAGCGTAAAGGGCGTTCGAAATCCCGACATCGTATTAATAATTGTTTTTATTATCAGCGTATTACATGATTAAAATATATACTTACGTTTGATTTACTCTTCCGAAGCGAAAAGCGTTCCGAATTTTACATTTGCTACAGCATTACTTGAGCACTATTTCAACTTTGTAAGGACACCCCTCCTGACACGGAAAAAACCGTAAGTTTAGGTCCGGTTGCAATCCTTATTAAGAACCTACTTTTCTGTTGTTAACCTACATCCACTGCTACTTTGCACGTGACCATCGATTTATATTGATATAGTACAACAGATACGCACGTTCCAACTTCTGTGACATCCCTACCCTCCGTAGGCGATAATACGTCAAGCTTTAAAGAAGGACATGCAACGGGTAACGGAAGACGAACAAACAATCTCCGTCACCGTATATTTATTTCACATAAATCAATGTATAAACTAGCTCTCGTCATATCTCTTAACTGCTATGGTAGCAATAGAATCTTGACAACTTAATTAGTTTTCGTTTGTAGTTTTTTTTTTATTATACTGACAACCTAGTCTTCACAAACCAGTACCTCGTGTTTGCTCTACAATGCCTTTTGGCTGTTCCTTGAAGCATTAGCCGCAGGTTTCTATTCCTATACGGCCGTTACTGTGATGCATGACGTTATCATGACGCCCTGGGTTGTCTCTGACTCAGCCCTTAGATTAGATACTTGTAATACTGCGCGGCTTATTTTTCTTGCAAGTATGGGATAGACTAGTTTTTTTGCAACCTAAGGATAGGTTGTCCGAACCGTTGTGCCTATTTGATAAGTGTTAATTATTCGACCAATGTCATACGCAATTTAGTCCGCTTGGGGGATTTGTTTTGAATGAGCTAATGTAGGAGATTTGGAACGTTCGTAAATTACACCTTGAAATATATTATTTTTGAAGGAAAACTGATTTTTAGCATAGGTCTCCGTCTGTCTGATGTATATCTGTGACAAGCCGTTCGGTCACAACAACTCACTCTGTATCCGTTTGGCGGTGACAAGACAATGTTCAAAACATTGTTACATTTCATACCATTTCGATTTCAAATACAGCTAGGCCCGATAAGACGATTGTTTTTGCACGTGATGGTACATTGTGTATCACCATTGCACGCAGCCATTGTGTGAGTAATTAATACTTCATAATGAACGGAACAGAACATGAGCATAATGAAGAGTTGAATGACTTTATTAGGTTATAGTTAATAAAATTGTAGCCTTCCTTAGGGACTGCTTCATTGAAGAAGAACTTTTTGATCTTAGTTCGTTTGTCATTTCAATGGAATTATAGGTTATGAAATATCGGTTGCCCACAAGCCTCTCTATTTTTCTTTATTTTCGCTACAAAACCGAAAAACAGTACTGACACAACAAGCAATCTACTTTCATTTAAACTGGATGTGGCATGGGAACTTTGTTAAGTGTTACAGGATTGTTATAATAACACATTGGTTCTCGCTTGATACTCAACGGTTGGTCAGCAACCCCTGAAACAATTACGTAATAAAACGTACTTATAGTAACTGTGTGGCAGCGGCGGTCTCAGCAGGACTAGCCTCAGCTTCTGCAAGAATAACTTCAGTTTTGGCAGCTTCTGTTAAAACCGGTGCCTCGGTCTCAATAGCTTCAGTCTTTGTCGCCTCCGTCGGAGCCGCAGTGCTCGAAGCCGTAAAAAATTTTCGAGTCGTGGGAGCTTTTTCCGTAGTGGACGCTGGTGTAGTGATATCATACGCAGGGTCACATCCTGCCTTCCGTGGATCCATGCATCTCTGCACACGTCATAAATAATGATTCATTAGTTCGAATTTCCAGTATATATTTATATATATATATATAGATAAATCTCGGTTGACTTTAATATTTTTTCTGTAAGATACACTTCGTCTTCGAGATCACGTATGATTGCTCGAAGGCAAGCAGGAACAATGCCACTACCACTGGCTTACCGCTTCTAATTACTAGTAAGGCTTTGATTTGCGCTAATGTATTGAATTGAAAAGTAGGCGCAACTAATCGGATGGAATTATTTAGCTAGCATCATTATGCTGTAAAACAGAAACGAAAAAAGAGAGCTGTAAGTAAAGAAAATAATACTAACCAGATGGGTGGGGCTGAAGTGCTGTCCGAACCTACAAGTAAATTTAGCCGAAAACCAAAAGCTGCACCTGGAATACATTGTGCAGTCGTTGGGGTCTGGCACAAGCTGCGAATTCATTGTAGCATCTGGCGGGCAATCTGGACTACCTGGTCCAAAGCTGAAGGGTTTTGCTTGAACCTCTAAGGCAAGCATTGGCATAAGGCAGCATGCAACAGCGAGGAACATCATCTTCTCCAGTCGTTTATTCAGAAAGCTCAGGCTGTAGAAAAAGGGAAATGCAAAATAATTTATCACAAAGTAACCCGAAAAACGTTCACTCGACAGGGTCCTTTGTTTCGAACAGTATTTTGCAAAAGGAATGGCCGATCAATCTCACGTTAGAACTATTTACGTAACACGACTGGCGATACCTAGTCGTGTTAAGAGCTTATATAGTCAGAGGGATATCATAAATTGTTAAACCTTATCTAATCGTTCGGAATCTCTACAACGATGGACGACGAACTACGTCATTGATTCAGTGAGAAGAGATGGCTAGCGGTCAGTTACATCCGAAAGCAGAATTCTCGTTCTCATACTTCTACGATCATTATCATCGTAGGTATCCTCAGAATCTATCAGAACGAGTATTGTGCATTTTGAAGCTGGCTGGTTCGAACTGGATATCAATTAACTAGTGGTGTTTTGCATTGTGTAAGTCTGATTTTTTGCACGATCTCCTATAAAATCTGATTCATTTTTTAAGCCCCTTTGACGGAACACGTTGTGTCCAGTACTTAATCACTTACTGGCTCATTTACTACTGCCCTATTATAGTGCCTCGAAAAGGCACCGCACATATATACTTATATCGATATACACAGTTATAGAGGACAACTCGTAACGTCTACTTACTTATACCGTGATTAGGTTTTCTCTAGCCACGAACAGGTGGAAGGGATTGGCTAGACATAAACTTATCCGTTCTAACGAATATATTAATTGCTTGCTCGTCGTACGTTCTGAGCAACACATCTCTTTTTCCACTCTCATACAGAATCATGATATAAAAATATACTCACAAATCGGTAAGTATGGCTAATCAGGCAGACCCCTTCCTTTGCATACATTTACCATTATGTTGATGACTGATCTTCTGGCGCGCAAGAGCTTGCCAGGTCCTTTGTTCCCACAAAAATCCTCGGGCCTTGGCGTTGCTTAAAGGTCATGAGAGAGTGATGTTGCCTATCGAAAGCGTGTCGAAATGATTTAAAGAAACAAGCGTTGCGATAATTGTGTATATATGGATACGGCAAAAAAATATTATATACTAGAAAATGGAGTCGAAAAAATCGCCAAAACTCTAGTGAATAAAGTACATTATAATATAAAGTTAGTATCCGCTGGGCACATATATATACACATAACATTTGAGTCTTTATTTAGTAAACCGGCCGTATCAAATGAAAGTCGAAAAAAAAATGTATAATTCCCGACTCCCGTTTGATGTAGTAAATTTAGAAAAAAACAACTACGATTCTTAGCGCTGTAGTTTTACAGGTGCCAAAAATCAAAATCATCAAAACCATAATAGTTCTCAGCGATATATATATATATATATATATATACATATATGCTCGCTTACTTATGCTACAAGCATTACATTCACCTTTTCCACTTTAGTTTTAATTAAGGCATACCCAATTTTATACCGTGTTAAATTACAATTTACTGCATTCAATACTAAAATACTAATTTTTACACTTCTAAGCCGTCACGTTACCTTTAGCCATTACGCCGAAGTCCCATAATGACCGCCGAGGGCAAAGACCGTCTGTGTTAAAGGTTCGTAATCTCGGACCTACAGGAATTGAACATTAGTTTCTTTTCGCTTATATCCACAATGAGCTTCACAAAGCTTTACCGTTCTTGTAGGGTTATCCCTCGTCTAAAAGACATTTTTCAAGTCTCAAGCGTTGCGGACGCACGTCACAACGAACGGCCCGTCAATAAATGTACCTATAGAGGTTGAGAAACGCTTTGCTGATGCGTGCATGCGGTTATCCACTATTTTTGACAATAGAGGCAAAACTGTAATTTCTACAGCAACACCACAAGTTCAGGACGGTAGAGGGAAGAAGCTCATCTTCGTTAGGAAATAGATGGATCGTCTGTATTGGCGGTGATCATAAAAACACGGTGAAGCTTTGCGTACGCGAAAGCCAACGATCCATAGTAGGAAGGGGAGTAGTAATAGATTGTCATAAAACTACTAGCGTTTTGCAAACTAGATGGCTTGATATGACCCGCGTCAGACCGGCGCTGGTGTTATTTGGAAGGTGAAACTTAACAGCAGTGCTGCTAAACTTGTTGGACCGCAATTATTTAAGCTCAAGATAGCACACCTTGATGATAAGAGAAACGTGTGCAAAAATTCGCTTTATTTTACCATTTTATTACAAAATAAACAAAAATGCCTAGATCGATCGAAAAACTTGTGCTGTTGATGTATATCTGCCTGTATGGGGAGAAGCAACTTAAAGATGGCTCTGTTTTTCGTTCCGGAAATTTCGATTTGAAAGGTGCTCCTTGCAGCGGTCGATCATTTATGAAAAAAGGTCATCAAACTATTGAGCAAAACCGACATGTGACTGGTCCTGATACGGCCAGGGAAGTGAACATACATCACTGAACAAGCTTCAGGAAGCTGGCTACAAAAAAGTGAACTTGAGTATGGCTACTACAAAGGCAAAAAAATCTACTCGACCGTCTCTAAAATTTGACAGAAACGCAAGGCCGAAACCAAGCCACTTGTAAAGCGGTCGACCGTGAGCAATAAACAGCGAAATAGGAAAATGTGGACCGAAATCTGTGGCGAAGGTCAGGCTACCGTTAGAAAAGACGATGCTATGTGTTGAATACGATAGGAAGTATTTGGTGGTCTATTATGAGTCGCACGCCTCTGCCATAAACAACTAATAAAACTGCAATGAGCTATTGAAAAGAAAAATAATTGTTATAACTTTTCTCCCAGAGAGCTCAACAATTCTATAGTGATAGGAATGTCATATTATCAAAAAAAAAATGACAGAAGATCGATCAAAATCATGCATATTTTGTTTTTGGTAGTATAATTTAAAAAAAAAAAAAAAATGACAAATATTTCAATTTTAGCTTAGAACAGTCAATACTTTTCCACAAATCCATATATCATATATATACAAGATGGGGCAAATGTTCGTGAATTTTTACTTTCCATTCGTACAACATCTATAGGATAGGCCGTACATAGGGGGCTGAGTAATCTCAAGACTGCTTAACGCTATCGCTGAAAGCAGTCATAACCACGTGAAGGAATTACAATGGTGTATTCACCAGAGATGATCTTATTATATGGCGGAATTGGGCTTATTACAATTGATTTCGTTTCTAAAAAAAATTGAATTGAAGATACCTATGTCGTTGGCCCGTAAACGTTTGGTTTGTGAGGCTATATGAGCCAGTGAGTTATATAAACTATTAAGAATTTCGGACGAAATGGTCAGTGATTTAACAAAAACTAAATATGATTAAAAAAAAAAAAAGGGAAATATGATAAAAAGGTTAGTTCAAGAAGAGGACATTTTTCAATCATTTACTGTCAGGTTAGACCGGTTAAAAATTATGATTTGTCCATTATAAGTCCATATGATGCCCTGCTACGCAGGGTGGAGCCGGCTTCCGAATAGCGTACACTTGAGAAGATAAGAGAAACAGTATCAATGTGCACACCGTTTTCCAAAGCCAATTTGATCGGATTGTATCGTGGTTATGCATGGTTCTGGCGTGAACAATCAGCCACGGTAAATTCAGGTTTATAATGATTTATATTTTATTACATTTACTTATGATGATATAATTTTGTCCTAATAATACGTTATGCTTATAAACTCGCCGAATTTTCAGTGTAAAACAACAGTGTAAAACTACGGTGCCTTATCTATACACATATATGCACACCTACTAATCTAAGTTGTAGTCTGAAGCTACTTTTTTAAAATTTCTCTATGAAATTCGCATTGACGATACCCAATTGATCATGTAACCTAATTTAATAAAATTATCTTATTAAAACATAACTTACTTTCTGTTTGAGAACACAATTTTAAGACAGCTGCCAGAAAAATCGTGGCGCTTGTTTTGCTTCTGCATCGTTCAACGGAAGTTAAATAAACTACTTAGATGTTTCATATAACTTTACCCGTTGAAACTTAATAAAAACAAATAACGTGAATCGCACGAAATTTTTTAGTTACGTGAGTATTAGAGGCATTCCGTAAATCCGTTCAGTAGTATTAACATTTCAAATTATCGTTTATGTGCTCGAAAACAACGAACTGGCCCATATAGTTTCTGCCCCATATACCCCTACCTTCATTTATTTGTTGAGCGAATTTTTTCAATACCTTTGGGGAACTTCTTTCTACCTTGAATACATACATACATACATCGAGAGAGAAAGAAAGAAAGAAAGAACGGAAGAAACTTATGAATTTACCGCTTTGAATGGATGGTACGATCGATTGGTGAAATTATGATAAATGAGACCACTTTTTAAAGAACTTCTCATTCTGTCGTTTAACCCACACACAGCTTTTAATAGACATGCTGTGTATATATACTGCGTAAAAGTTTTTAGAGCTGTTCGACCCAAAATCGATTCTATATTTTATCCAAATTATCCCATGGCTATCACCCATAGGGTATCAATGGGTGATACGGAATTGCAAATCGGAGAAGTTAGTGAGGTAACGAATATGCGGTGACAATATGCAGGGTGCTTCAATGCTAGCGACCTATAGCTTAAGAAAGGGCTAATAAAGATAAACTTATTTCTTGTAATCGAACACAATTGAACACAATCGAACACAAATTTTCATTACTTTTGTCTATTAAACCTTTCCAGTTATCTATCTTAAAAAGTACCAAAAAGTATTCAGGCCCATAGGCCATTTTACAACAATTACAGCATGATATGTTGGTATTACTATCTACCTGATGAATAAGATAGGGACTGATTTACTGGGAAGACTGGTTGAGTTGTGTCGAAATTTGCCTCTAGTCCATTTTTGGTACTATGTCACACTGGGTTGCACTTCATCAACAAGATTGTATGGCTAATTAGTCACTAGCGGCAATAAAAAAAAAATGTGGTACAAGGTCCCATTTAAAATTAATAACAGTTTTCGCCTTTTTATGAATAAGCCTATTATATAGTTTCGTATCTTTATAAATGTCCTTTGTGGACATAAATAACAACGAGGTGAATGTAGAAGGGGCATGAAAGGCTAAATCAGGATTTGTGCAGGGGGTCAATCGCCCTATAGAATGTATAATGGCGGTACCAAACGTAAGACAACTAATTTACGGCAGATATTGATGTTTCAAATGCTAGATTTGATTCTTCAGCTATTAAACACCCGTTTTATTAGTTAATAGTCCTGCCCAGCACGAAACAAGATATATGAAGTGGTTCAAGTCTAAGCTAAGCATGAAGGCTAGTTCTTCGTTGCCATGGTACAGCAGGACGAACAAGGGTTGGGTCTGTACTTGCATAGTACTAATTTATAACGTATATTTAGTAAAGTTGGTTTGCCATTGTTAAATATAGTACAGCTACTCTCGGAAGAAAATCAAATTGAAACGATTAATACAACTAACATCGTTAATAACATTCACTGCGAACTGAATTAAAAAAAAAAAGTCATAGTTTTAAGTTAATGCTGGGACAATAGGTTGGGGGGTGGTCGGAGATGTCGACCGAACCTCCACTCTTTATTTCCGTATTTAGGACAGCAATGGTACAACAGAGTATCCATAAAAAATGGATGGAAGATTTTGTTTCGCAATAGCAATAAATATGGCACAATTGTTATGATAACATACGTCGCACCTTGTTCAATACTCAGGGACGGTTAACTAATTAACCACCCAGGTATCAGAGAGGCTTCAAAAGTTCGAGATGTGATTGCGATGAAGGTTCAATCGGATCTCTCAGTTAGCAGATTAAATCTCTTAGAGGATAAATCCATACGAGGCCTCCCCTTTAACTTTGGCGCCAATGATTTTCTCACTCTTGGCGACAATGGAACCACTCGCAGAGATGGCACCGCTACCCTTGCCATCGGCGCTACCCTTGATGTCGGCGTTACTCTTACCATCGGCGCTACCCTTGATGTCAGCGTTACCCTTGATGTCGGCAACGTTATCAATCGCGCCAACAATCTTATCCTTGACAGCGGTAATTTTACCCTTGAGGTCAATGTTACCCTTGATGTCGGCGCTACCCTTACCATCGGCGTTACTCTCGATGTCGGCGTTACCCTTGCCATCGGCGCTACCCTTGATGTCGGCGTTACCCTTGACGTCGGCAGCCTTATTCTTCACGTCGACAGTCCTCTCCTTGACAACGGTAATTTTACCCTTGATGTCGGCGTTACCCTTGATGTCGGCGTTACCCTTGATGTCGGCGTTACCCTTGCCATCGGTGTTATCCTCGATGTCTGCGTTACCTTTGCTGTCGGTGTTACTCTCGATGTCGGCGTTACCCTTGCCATCGGTGTTACCCTTGATGTCTGCGTCACCCTTGCCATCGGCGCTACCCTTGATGTCTGCGTCACCCTTGCCATCGGCGCTACCCTTGATGTCTGCGTCACCCTTGCCATCGGCGCTACCCTTGATGTCTGCGTCACCCTTGCCATCGGCGCTACCCTTGATGTCGGCGTTACCCTTACCATCGGCGTTACTCTTATGTCGCGTTACCCTTGCCATCGGTGTTACCCTTGATGTCTGCGTCACCCTTGCCATCGGCGCTACCCTTGATGTCAGCGTTACCCTTGATGTCGGCGTTACCCTTGATGTCAGCAACGTTATCAATCGCGTCAACAATCTTATCCTTGGCAGCGGTAATTTTACCCTTGAGGTCAATGTTACCCTTGATGTCGGCGTTACCCTTGATATCTGCGTTACCCTTGATGTCGGCGTTACCCTTGACGTCAGCAGCCTTATCCTTCACGTCGACAGTCTTATCCTTGACAACGGTAATTTTACCCTTGATGTCGGTGTTACCCTTGATGTCGGCGTTACCCTTGCCATCGGTGTTATCCTCGATGTCTGCGTTACCTTTGCTGTCGGTGTTACCCTCGATGTCGGCGTTACCCTTGCCATCGATGCTATCCTCGATGTCTGCGTCACCTTTGCTGTCGGTGTTACCCTCGATGTCGGCGCTACCCTTGCCATCGATGTTATCCTCGACGTCTGCGTTACCTTTGCTGTCGGTGTTACCCTCGATGTCGGCGTTACCCTTGCCATCGGTGTTACCCTTGGTGTCGGCGTTACCCTTGGTGTCGGCGTTACCCTTGATGTCGGCGTTACCCTTGATGTCAGCGTCACCCTTGACCTCGGCAGCCTTATCCTTCACGTCGGCAACCTTATCCTTCACGTCGGCAGCCTTATCCTTCACGACGGCAGCCTTATCCTTCACGTCGGCAGCCTTATCCTTCACGTCGACGGCCTTGTCCTTCACAACGGTAATTTTACCCTTGATGTCGGTGTTACCCTTGATGTCGGCGTTACCCTTGATGCCGATTTTATTCTTGATATCGGCGTTACCCTTGATGTCAGCGTTACCCTTGACGTCGGCAGCCTTATCCTTCACGTCGATAGTCCTATCCCTGACAACGGTAATTTTACCCTTGATGTCGGCGTTACCTTTGCTGTCGGTTTTACCCTTGATGTCGGCGTTACCTTTGCTGTCGGTATTACCCTTGATGTCGACGTTATTCTTGACGTCTGCAGCGTTATCCTTCACGTCGACAGTCTTCTCCTTGACAACGGTAATTTTACCTTTGATGTCGGCGTTACCTTTGCTGTCGGTATTACCCTTGATGTCGTCTGCAGCGTTATCCTTCACGTCGACAGTCTTCTCCTTGACAACGGTAATTTTACCCTTGACATCGGCGTCACCCTTAATATGGACGTTACCCTTGATGTCGATGTTACTCTTGATGTCGGCGTTACCCTTGATGTCAGCGGTACCCTTGACAGCGGTAATTTCATCTTTAACGGCGCCAATTACATTAGATGCAGTTACGGTCTCGACATATGTAATTTTGGCGACGACGGTTTTATTCTCTCCAGTGGCGACATTATCCAACGTGCCGGCAATCTTATCCTTGATGCTGGCAGCGTCACCCTTGATGACGGTAATTTTATCCCTGACGATGGTAACCTTATTCTTACGGACGGCATTATCCTCGACAGCATTAGCTTCGGTAGAAATTTCAGCATTTGTACTGACGTTCTCGGTTGCGGAGGAAGCCTCAGTCTTTACATCGGCAGTCTCAACAGATTCGGTGGAAGTCGGCGCGTCTGTTTCGGCGGCCTCAGTTTCTGCGGAAGTGGCCTTAGCAGCTTCGGTGGAACTCGGTGCATTTGTTTCGGCAGCTTCAGTCTCTACGGAGGTAGTCTCAACAGATTCGGTAGAAGTCGGCGCGTCTGTTTCGGCAGCCTCAGTTCCTGCGGAAGTAGCCTCAGCAGCTTCGGTGGAACTCGGTGCGTTTGTTTCGGCAGCTTCAGTCTCTACGGAGGTAGTCTCAACAGATTCGGTGGAAGTCGGCGCGTCTGTTTCGGCGCCTCAGTTCCTGCGGAAGTAGCCTAGCAGCTTCGGTGGAACTCGGTGCATTTGTTTCGGCAGCTCAGTCTCTACGGAGGTAGTCTCAACAGATTCGGTAGAAGTCGGCGCGTCTGTTTCGGCAGCCTCAGTCTCTGCGGAGGTAGTTTCAACAGATTCAGTCGAAGTCGGCGCGTTTGTTTCGGCAGCCTCAGTCCTTGCGGAAGTAGCCTCACCAGTTTCGGTGGAAGTCGGTGCATTTGTTTCGGCAGCTTCAGTCTCTACGGAGGTAGTCTCAACAGATTCGGTAGAAGTCGGCGCGTCTGTTTCGGCAGCCTCAGTTCCTGCGGAAGTAGCCTCAGCAGCTTCGGTGGAACTCGGTGCTTTGTTTCGGCAGCTTCAGTCTCTACGGAGGTAGTCTCAACAGATTCGGTAGAAGTCGGCGCGTCTGTTTCGGCGCCTCAGTTCCTGCGGAAGTGCCTTAGCAGCTTCGGTGGAACTCGGTGCATTTGTTTCGGCAGCTTCAGTCTCTACGGAGGTAGTCTCAACAGATTCGGTAGAAGTCGGCGCGTCTGTTTCGGCAGCCTCAGTTTCTGCGGAAGTAGCCTCAGCAGCTTCGGTGGAACTGGTGCATTTGTTTCGGCAGTTCAGTCTCTACGGAGGTAGTCTCAACAGATTCGGTAGAAGTCGGCGCGTCTGTTTCGGCAGCCTCAGTTTCTGCAGAAGTAGCCTCAGCAGCTTCGGTGGAACTAGGTGCATTTGTTTCGGCAGATTCAGTCTCTACGGAGGTAGTCTCAACAGATTCGGTGGAAGTCGGCGCGTCTGTTTCGGCAGCCTCAGTCCCTGCGGAAGTAGCCTCAGCAGCTTCGGTGGAAGTCGGTGCATCTGTTTCGGCAACCTCCGTCTTTTCGGAGGATGTTTTAGTTTTTGAGGAAATAACCTTGGCAGCTTCAACGCAGATTAGTACGTTTGGTTTGGTAGCCTCAGTCTCCACCGATGAAGTCTCAATGGGCGTAGCTATGGAAGATTTTTGGGTTCCGGTAATGGGTGGCAAAATGGTGGTTTTGTAAGCAGGGTCGCATCCTGCCAACCACGGTCTCACGCATCTCTGTGTACACGTAAATAAAAACAGGTTAATTGAGATTTGTAGAATTTCGTATGTGCAAGTGCGCATAAAATGCGATTGACTCCAAATGTACTTCCATAAAGTACCACGTAAGAGAATAGTTTAGATAATATACCGAGAAGCCGAGACGTTTCGAAGATCACGTCGTGTCAAATATATATATATATATATATACCGTACAGATGTAAAAAGGCTGAAACTGTCACGACACTGACGCTTGAAAATGCATTAAAGTGCTTTTTGGAAATACTTTTATTAGAGCTAAAAGCTAGGGAACGGTATAGGAAATCGGATCACTTTACCGATATCGTCTGCTTGTATAATAATTGCATAAATAGAATTTTCAAAGGTCAGATGCAGCAATTTTCACAGCCGCTTTATTTAAAAAAACTTAGCAGACATCTCATAAATACAAACCTGCTCGGTAACGCTGAAATGGTCTCCATACTTGCATACGAATTTAGCTGAGAACCAAAAATTGCACACGGAATACTTAGTGCAATCATTGGGATCAGGCACGTAGTGCGGCATGCCGAGTACGATTTTTGAAGGGCAGTCCGATCTACCTGGCCCAAAAGCGAAAGGTTTTGCTTGGGCCCCTAGGGCAAGCACTGCTATTAAGCAGCCCACAACGATAAAGGCCTTCATCCTTTCGGGCGGTTGGTTTGGAAAGCTCAAGCTGCGCGAAAATAAAGGCAAAATTTAAAAAAAAAAAAAAAAGCATCGTCTAATAATGTGCTGGTCTCTCATACAGGACGCCAAATGGACATTCGGATACTGTGTTAGTCTGACAACATTGCTTCGTTACTAGTCAGATATGCTAACTAAGCTTACCTTGAAGCTGCGACAGTAATGTAACCACTACACAGTAATTGCGCCGAATGGCTATGGTTATATACCGATTAAGCCTGTTGTAATCTACCGGAACATCGTAAATAATCTTCTGCGATCTCAATAGATGCCTGTAATGACGATCTACGCGTCTGAAATAATGATAAGACACTGGAATTGCCCCCCTCCAAGGTCAACGGGAGATTGAGGCGTCAACGAGGCATTCCGTTTCCTGCCGTATTACACGAACCGTATAAAGAGAGGGGGCCATCTATATTTATGAGAAAGAATATTGCATGTCATATAACAAGTTATCGGCAACAATTGTATTTTCCTGGATTGTTGACGTCGTCATACTTTACTGCCAATTGTTATACCTTCGCAAATTATTCGAGGCTGTTTATTCTTGTTTTTCTTTTACTTGACCATTGCTTTAGCACAGTAGAAAACTTTTCATTCTACAGCGTCCAGCGCCTTTAGCCAAAACAAGAATAGGTAAGCGTATCGAACACTTTATCGGTCCTTCTACGGTTTTATTTTTTTTTTTACAAGCTTCCTGTGTTTATTTACACCGGTGGCTCTTAGTATTTTCAACGACACACCTAAACACTGTGTAAATGTTATTCATTAGCCAACATCTATTTGATTTAGAAAGATACTATGTCTATTAGACGAATTTAGCAAAAATATATATGCCCTTGTAGAGATACATAATTTTTTTTTCTTTTTTATATTTATATATATCGCAAATATTACTCTTCCTTAGGTATAGGTCAGTGAGTAAATATTAATCGGATTTTTACAATGAATATCTCGACAACAGCGCGTTTGTCAAGCTAGCTGAATTTTTTTTCCTTTTTTTTTTTTTCGTATGGATAGCTAATCTAGGGGGTATATCAACTGGAATAATCTCAATGAGCAGTTTTTCACTGTTATAAAAAACATGTGTGTAACACCTCCGAGAGCATGTTCTTGCGCTAGAGTCATAACGTCTTGCTTTACTTAGCAATGTTAGCTGTTTTATGCAAATAAGTCCTCAGAACAACCTATTTTTCAGTACAGCATTAAGGACTCACCCTTAATAAGAATTTAGGTGAAGTAGTTACCTGCTAGACTTACTGGGTCTTCTCAAACAAGCCTATACAACAGCATTGCCACCGTACAAACAGCTATTAGCTTTTATGAAATTAATCTTTTTCAACTTCTTATTTTTCATTCATTCCTAACCGTCCTGATATATTTTCCATACTTAATTTGTTTTATTTATTTTGGTTTCTTTGCTGTTACTATGCATGTTAACATGCAAACGCCTTTGAAAAGATGTCTACTAGCCGCGTGGCTGAACAGGACACATCATGTTTCCAATACACTTCACTACCATATAGATATAAAAATAGCTGCTTCGAATTGAACGCTTGGTCCTACCGTTATGTATCGATTCACACGGCTGGCTTCAAGTGCGAAACGAACTTGTGTCCAGTTTGAAGCTTGAATGACCTCAAGTGTCCTTAAGGTCATCACGGAATCAGTAGATAGATAACCAATTTAAATTACTGATTCGAAGCGTTTATTAGATATCATTGAAAGGTGCCGAATTATCGAACAGGGTTTGGTGTTTGGAGTGTATTCCAGAGATTCCCGAGAGAGGAAGGCCCAATGCGCCAACGAAGATGATCCGCGATAGGAATAGAAATCCAGAGGCACCAACGTTAATTTACTATGACCTGAAATATTGCTGTAAAAGTAAATGGTCTGTATAGTTAGACTGGTTTTTTTGGGGTGTACGGCCTACGGCCTGTCTAATCTACCCAAACGTTTGGCCTTCGTTGAGCATAGAATCTTCGATACATTTTGTTCGCTAAAAGATTTAATGTAGCTGAATTAAACGTAGCTTTGGATCGGCAAAGTCAGTACAAAGTATATAAGGGGAAATTAAATAAAAGGCATCACCCCGAACAGGCTACCGGTTACTTACAGCATCGACAAAAAATGCCAGTTTTATCCAGAGACGGTAACCGTAACAGCTTTTTTTTTTTTTTTATAATTTCTAAACGAACTTCCCTTTTCTAAATGGGATAGTGATTTTATTTATATATTTATTTTTTTATGTATTTTATTGTTTCTAGGTGTTAAGCATTACATCACCGTCCCAGCACGAGACGAAAAGTGTGTACATACCTGTCCCTGTGTTTCACCTATTAGGCTACTACGAGGTATTGATTATTAGTATGTATTAAATACAATTCACCTAAGCAAATATAAATATCTCAGAGACGTAGTTGTCCCGCCCTAGTGCTCGATGTGCACTCAGAAAAATACAAACTTAAAATTCGTTTATATCATTTGGAAGGGATAACAGGTTCCACACGAAATGGGCCTTACACCTTTTTATGCCTGAATGTATGTCTGTGCATGATCGGCCATTTTGAACGTCTATCCGTATGAACGTAGTTCGGATTTTCAGCAAAATTCAAAAATAATTTTCCGACAAGTAGGTTCCGACAAGAAAGATCGGTTAGATATACATAAAAGATCCATATTGTTTTGTTAACCAACGAGTGTTATGCTTCATAAGAATCTATTAAATCTAAGAATCGATATACGATTCAAAGTGTAGTAATGGTGAAAGCTTCGTTTTGTGACGAGTGGTAAAAATCCTTCAAAAACAATCTGTTTTTATATAGAGTAGTATGCGCGAAGCTGCTGGCAACGCTGGCAGTGTTGACACGCTTTACAACCTACCGCGTTCCTGTACATATTACTTATAAAGCAAATGTATCTCTCCTAAATGGCAGCGAGTTTTTCTTATGTATTTATTCGTTTATTTCTAGAATATTATTGTTCAATCCGAACCATTACCCCTTTTGTATATGAGGGTAGTTAAGGCAGTAGTACGTTGTGTCTAATGGACATGATACGACTGAGACACGGATGTGTTGTTTGGCTAACTTATACAGCTATACCATATATATATAATAGAATCTGCACAAGGAGCGACACGCAAGGCTGTCATTATAAGACCAGTAGTTATAATTAGGTTAGAACCACAAGTTTAAAGGAGCTCCGTTATAAAGTCATCCATTAAACCTGTTATCTCGTTCTGCCTGGAAGCTTGCCTGACGTTACGCGAGTTCATACCGTTTCTAGTCTCTTTTTTACTGGTTATTTCTTGTATGCTCTGAGGTGGAAAAAATCGATATTAGTATTGATAGTTGGCGCAGTTGTGTGGCGTGAGAGCATCTCATTCGAATAAGGCCAACATATATAGCTATGACCTTACCTCCGTTTGCGCATTGCCTTTCGCAGCAACGTACATCAGTCGTTTTTATGATGTAGTTGCATACGTACGTATGCATCGATGCACGGAAGGTTACGCAAACCTACAAAAGATCTGACTCAAACTGATCCAAGGTCAGTTTAAAGGCAACTTTCCGAAAAGTGTATTTACACTGTTCCGCAGTTATGTATTTAGATAATAGATAATAAGAAAAAAGCAACCGAGGAAAAATGTATCATAGACTTAACTTAATCTCCAATAGTATCCAACGGCTTTCAACCACCAGCAGAGTTTGCCTTATTTCAACCCAGTTTGAGCCACCCACGCACGCGAACAAAGAACTCACAGAGCGAATACGGTATGCAATAAAAGAGAGAAAACGGGAAAGGGGAACAGAAATATAGAGAGGGAAAGCTCTGTTCCGACTACCAATAGCAGTCAGCATCTCTCCGAGACATTAAATCTCCTCTGAGCGCTCCTCCTTCGGCCGTTACAATCTGATTTGAGCCTCGCCCATGTCTGGGATTCACAATCTGAGCGTGTATGGGAAACGCTGCAACCAGCCGCCCACTGGCCGATTCTCAACTCAAATACACACTTTACATGTATCTGCGCGCAGAACATTGAGAGTGGTCCGTGCTCTGAGCCATTACGGCATCCTTACTCACCGTTGCTGCGCGAAGTGTGTGGCTGACGCGCCTGGTGCCCTGTCGAGCCTTACAGTGAGCCTGAACTTATGAGGCGCATCTGACTACGATCTGAGCACCGGAATAGGCTCGCGTTCAACGCAGTCATAAGCTGAGGTCGCCGCGGCAATTATAACTGTATATTTGTTCGCGGAGACGGAGCTGGAAGAGATGTGCTGGGCACAGTTTGTGGCCTGCGGCCTGTTTTCTGTGTAAGAGATGTTCGGGGTAGCTACTGCTGTTTGAAGATTCAAGGTATCCGCGTAATCAGGCCGTTGCACTCAGGTGGCGCAACAGTCGTGTAGTTAATCATTGAGCTAGTTGTAGTAGAAAGCTGGAACTTAGGCAGGGAGTCGGTTTCTGGTTGTTTATTCCACGAAAAATAAAAGGCCAGCTGTGTTGACGTATGGTGCTATGCGATGATCGCGTTTTCTTCAGCGAAATCCAAACGGTGTGCGTATATTGCCACTCTATAATGCTACAGAGCTTGCAAAATTGAAAGTCGATGCTTATCAAATAAACGTTGATGACTCCTTATGACTACCGCTAATTCAAATACCGGCAACAGAAAATGTGTTACTTGCAGTGGTGTGCTTTTTTGTGCTTTCTCGTGCTGTCCTCGCCATGTTGTTTGATCGTGGAGGCGGAAGGCATTGATGTAACCGGATGAAAAATTCACAATGTCTGACTAAACGAGATACAGAGGTATTGGGATAGGAAGAAATTTCAGAAGTGCAGGGGCTGATCAATATAATAACGATATATCGACGAAATGGTCTAGAGATTACACAGTCAGCAGATTGAGCTGTATTATATGGAGCAAATGGGGTGACACCAGGTCGTTGATTAAGTATGAAAAGACGCGGTGCGTTGCGGCTGCGGACGGTGAGCGTTGTAGATAGATGACCAGAATAATATTTTTCACTGTTCTTCATATAAAAAAAAGGTTCTATGGCATTCATTGAGTGAACTATTGGGTTCGATTGTAACGTATCAGCTTGATTAGCGTATGGCCATAGATAGAACGGCCTGCGGGAGGACAACAAAGCGGAAAAAAATCGTTGTTTCGGCCACTATTATGTTCTTTGAAGAGACTTAAATACGACGAGATACTAAGGTAAATTCAGGCGTCTATCGTTTAAAGGCAGTAAACCCCGACGGCTTGTGTGGAAAAAGATTAATTAGGAGCCGCAGGCGACCTAATTAATGACACGACAGATCTAAATAGGCTTTTTATAGAAAGCGATCTTGTTTTCGGATCAAAATGCAATATTGAGGATGACTCTCAACTGCAAGTTGAAATTGGCTAGCAGATTATACGCTGTTATATATATATATATGTATATATATATATATAGTAATCTTCAGTTTGCCCCTGTCTACGTAAACAAAGGTTAAGTTAAACAGGGAATTCGTTTAATCTTTATAACTTGGTGGCCTTAGTAAAAGCCGTGGTATAAATTCAGCTTTTTAAAAAACTGGTAGCATTATGATTCCCGCCTGTAAAAGGGACAATTTTTCCTAATTCTCATTTGTCTTCATCCCAGTTGTATCTTCTAAAATATAGCACTTGGTTTTATCGTCTACCGCGTAGCTGTTTTTAGACTATCGATAGAGTCATAATTGTCTATAATTTATTCGAGCAAAATCTCGCATAAGGGCTGTTCCATAAAGATTTGATTGCTCACTAGAATATGATCGTTGAATTTATGCTATTTTTTGTGGTTTAAAAATAAGTGGCAGTTAGGATGATCGGAATTGACGGCTGTCAGTACGGCGTATGACGACTCCTAAGAAAAATATTTATGTAATTGTCCTTACTTTTCCATAAGCAACACAGCTGATAATAATGAACACTGGCGTCTAGTGACGAATCGTCGGCCGAACCGAGAAAATGAACGCTGTTCTACCTGCAGAATTTAACCCTTTACTTGGCCCTTGCTCAAAAACTTAACGCAGAAGTGAACTTTGCGATCTCTGCGCCACGTAGGGTAATTATCCCATATCGAGATTGCCTTTAATCAGCTAACTTGCTAAGTTTGCAACGTATACCGAAAATCTCATAAGATTTTGGTACAGTTTGTTCAGAAAGTTCACCATCAGATTTGAGTCATCAACGTTAAAGTGGTGTGTATTTAAAGCATTTTTACAAAAGCGAAAAGAACGATACCTGTGGGTATTTTCGGATGATTAGATCTTTGGAACACTGTGCCAGTGTCAGGTATTGTACACGTGCACATTAATCCAAATTTATTTGTATAATAGTTCGCTTAAGTGTGTGCCTTGTTGATCTAACAGACAACGGAATACTTTGTCCGGACGGAACGGAAACCTTGTCATGTCTATCTAATTCGTTCGATGCAGTATTTCTAAAATTAAATGTGTGTGTGTGTGTGTGTGTGTTTTTGTTTCACATCAACGAAATCGTATGCATAAGAGCGATTTTCATCTGTGCATTTTATCCCTGAGATTGCTCTTCCAACTCAGTGTTTTCCCTTGTACCACTGCGCTTCGCCATCGATGCACCGTTCTAGTGACTGAATCGATAATATAATTCTTTGAACTTTGATAATTTTGATCCGTGATCAAAGACTATGCGATCCCAATGAGATGAGCCAAATAAGGTTCTACTTCAGCTGAGCCTATGAGTTGTTGGATTCGATCTCGGGCGGTCGCTTTCCATGACAAAACGTTGTTGGCATACTTTGTTATGAGGTAAACTATAACAGAGTTAACTCCATTGGGGTCATGACGAACGCAAACCGCGTCGTTCCCAACCGGGCGCATTTGGCCCAGTTAGAAGTTAGAACACACACAGTGAAGAAGAGAGAGGAGCGGCGTGCATGTCCTTGAGCCTGCCATAGTGCTCAAACTGATTTCCATTCACTAAACAAGCCATCAAGAGTGCCCAGTAGCCTTTCATTGCAGGCTCATGGACGTCACCTTTTTGGTAAAGCGAGTGATATAGCCTGGACCTCTCAGAAAAATGTCCTAACTGTACTTAGAGCGCCCTTTGCGTGCGAACCTTTTGTCGGTTGTGGATGACGTACTTCGATTACTTCGAAGGGAAACTGTACGGTGCGGGGGCTATCAGGTTGACAAGTCCATTGGCCAGTATATTTAGAAACAACGTGTGATTTTTTTTCGGCACATACTTTCGTAGGACGAACGTGTTTTTATGTGGTATCAATAAATACGATTAAGTGCTATGTGCAGCTAAATAGAAGATACGAAGCCTGCGTCTGTTACTGATTTGATCTGTCCCCCATTAAAGCCGAGCGGTGGATTAGCTCGACGAATAAATTGGCTGGCCACGTTTGGCTGACCCTGCCTCACGGTAGCGGAATTGTTTTATTTATACAAGTCGAAAAAACGTTGTTTTTACCAAATCTCAATGTGTAGACTCCACATTCGTATTGAGCTCAGTTTTCGTATATTTGTAACAACACACAAACGCCTAGATAAAGCGACACTAAGCCGTACAGAACCTTTTTAAGCGGTTATCTAACCTAGTAGACCTGATAAGGGTCGACATCGAGATCACGCCAGTGATGTCTCGTTCGAGTTCACGTCAGCGTAGTCCATTTTCCGTCGTCGTCGTCGTTGGTGTTGGCAGTACACAGTTATCGAACAGAAACCAATGATAAGCTAATAGGTGACATGGTGTTGTCGTGCTCTAATGAAGCTACGTCCGTGAAAAGTTCGCCAGAGGCACGGGCCTTGCTCACTCAAATCACCGGCACCAACTAGGCCATTTCAATATCTGCCATAAACTCATTTTCTGTGTCCACTTTGAAGCTAGCGCTCGATTTATAGGATATTCTCGTTAGGCATCTTAGCCATTTAGAAATCGCTATAGTCTTAACATAAAGCCCCGTTAATAAACTTTTTCGAATAATTCCAACTTTTCGAAGCAACGAAGTGCGAGGCGTTTGGAAATCGGACTGGATGGAAAATGGCCAAGAAATTGCAAATCTTGAAGATTGGATGGCAATAGATTGATCCACGTAGTTGTCTCTTCTCTTCTACTTCGCGTGACGATTTTCCCCGTGTTCTTGGGGCGTACGCTCAGTTCTTCGTTTTCGTCGGTTATAAAAGCGTTTTTGACACACTAAGTCTTGTTGGTGCTAGGACCAGTTTCTACAACTGCTGGATGGATCTCGACTATAATTCGTACTGGCTTAATGCCAAGATAATCATATGAAAGAAACTCTGATTGGACTTGACAGCGATGCGGCTTTTCTACGGCGCATGTTGTACATGTTAGGGCCAGCATATGTACAGAGAGAACTACTAATTCTCTGGAAGCGGCATTTTGTTTTCGATAGCTCAAGATCTGATTGGCTCCTATCACGTTTTTGAAGACGGAATTGGGTTCGACGTAGATGACGTGCAAGTGGTTGCTATACGTGCAAGGCCTGGCCATGCGTCTATTATTCGGCTGTTTGTTGTATTCGGCGGTTGTTTGTTTACGTTTGAGTGGAAAGCACTTTGACGTGTAGCGGGTATAATGTGGTATCAATCATGCGATTGTTTAGGTTTTCACGTATTCTGTTTGACACGTTTAAGTCTCAGCACGAAGAAGTGCGCGACACTACATAAAATAGCAATAGACAATAGCCGTTAGTCCTACTGTTTTTCGGGCATTGAAATCCGCCTATCTGAGGATAGTGCCCATCGGACTGTGAAGTGCATCATAGAATTTGAGCAATTGAATTGCTAAGAGCTCGTATCGGTATGTAGTTGTGTCTTTTCGTGTTGGTTACATCAGCTACGGGTGGACTTAGCATGTGCTTGTTTCATAAGAAGACCGGCAAGGTAACAGACAACAACATTTCGTCTAAAGCAAGTCACCTCCTGTCTGCCCGAATGAAGCGACTTGGCAGTGGTCAGCCTTTTATCAGCGTCTGGTCGTCGTCGGCTACCCCCCTAAAGCACGAAAGGGTATTTTATAAAGTCACTATAATGATTATTATCTGAAAACTGGGATAGTCTTCGAGAATTTAGTAATAGTAAATTAGCTTTACTCTATTACAACGATCTCTAAATAACTGCGGGTAAACGATACTGTTCGTAACATAATATCGAGGAGCTTAATAAATGGGTCTTCGTTGTTCCCATTTCCAGGATGTTGTCTACTTAGCGAAGCAAATTCCAGATACATATGTACACAATCATGTTTTACTTATATTTATAACCTTAAATTTTGTTCCGATAAAGAACAGTGCACGTCTAGAGTTTGCATAGCGAGCACTGAAAACCATACGTGGCCAATAAGAATAAAGCAGAAATATAGCTTACATAAGGTGGGCACTTATGTCGACCTTATCAATAATAGGAAATCAGGAATTTGACTGTTTGTCGGTATTTGTAAATAAAGTAGAACCCTTTTTTTTGACTTAGGGCTTTACTGATTCAACAAACGGGTTCTAATCGTTGATGACGTTTTTAAGCATTACTCTACATAAAATGGTTATATTTATTTTTGTTTTTGTTCGGAGTTAGTTGATGTATCGTTGTTTTCCTGGAGAAAATGCCCATTGATATCAAAACAAGCTTTGCTTTAGAAATCGTCCGTGTGGAGCAATAGACGCGTCATTTGATCTTAACCAGGGAACTTAACTAGACCTGTTACTAGCTTATCGATGTTTATGATATTCCCTGTCGTCCAGTCCTTGGTGATCAGAAGTATTGATTTGTGTGAAACCTATGGAAATTTATGTTTGGAAATTTCTATGGTCAGTACCGCAAAAAGGCTAGCAATTTTATCTGCTCTTTGGCTGAGGCGAGACGAGAAGCCAAGAAGTGCGACTGCTAAGTGAATCTTAAAAATTAAGTATGAATAATGAAGTACTGATTATAGAATCTTTTGTTATAAGCAGTGGTCCGCTGATCATGCTGTGACTGAGATCAGAACAGGTGATCCGGTGTGCGGATATATTTCTAATACAACTGTTCTGACAACCACCTAAATAGGGTTCGTTTATATCGACATGATGCTAGCTCAGGTGGACACGTGACTTTTTGCTGCCTAAGTTAATACAAATTATGTTTTCATCTCTAGCTCTGCCTTTGTTGATCTATCCTTTACTGAGAATTCAATATATGGCTCAACTATTTTCAATCTTGGCCTAGCAAGACGTTTTTGCATTGCTATGAATACAATGCGATGAAATAAACAATGACCAATTTCAGATCTGTACTGAACTTTCTAGTTATGTAGCTTTTTTCTAGTTTTTTTATCCACCTTAAATGAAGCTGGAACATTTTCGTAAACGAATTCCGTCTAATACAAAGCTGCAAATTAGGCCATAACATCAAAGGGAACGCATTGTTTGCTTTAGGACAAAAAGCTGTGAGATCTACCCTAAGAGTGTGATGTCAAAGATGAATATATAAATTGGCTATTTCATTTTTGTCTATTGTATAATTGGCCTTGTATCGCGTTGCGGGGGTACGCTTATGAAGAGTACAGGGTCCAAAAAAATCTTAATGACAAGCTCTTCACTAAGGCCGGCGATACGACATATCACAAGCGAACGTTAATTTGGGAGCGCTATAGCTGTGGCCGAAGTGCCCTTGGCGTATTAAAATGCAGCAAGCACATTAACGTAATTCCAGTCGGGCTTATGAAGTTTTCAATGATAAACTATTTTTTAACCTACAGTGTTATATACAGATATAGAATGGGAACTTGGACAATTGTAGTTCTGAAGGTGCCGGTAGTCAATTTGTTTATACTTCTTGGGTTCTAATTAAATGGAAGGACATGAAGTTTTAAAAATCACTAACTTCATAAAATTTCCCGATCATGTCATTATAAGCAGTTACTTATTCTCGAAGCAATCTGGCCGTACCGAGGTCCTTTCAGAAGTCGAAACTGGAATTCTATATTGAGGAATCAAAGGTACCATTATAAATTGTAACTTCATTTAATGTTCTAACTTGTGAAATTGGATTTACAATGCCATCAAAACATTTTAATCTAATTCAAGTGTATGCATAGTTAAAATGTATTATAGACAGAAAAATGATAAGTAAAAGAGTGCTCCTTTCGCAACCGAGCCTTTGCACATGACCGGCAAATAGCTGTTACCAATTTCGTATTGACAGGGGTGCATAAACCTATAATACTTCGTCAAAGAAATCCTTCGTCTCTCCACAGCCTTCGCGCGCCCATCAGCGTCATCACATGAAATTTCCTTCTACGCATTCTGCTCGGTCATAGCGACCACATCGAGTTAGGCAAATCAACATTAATCCAAACGCTATTCGGTGCTCCACATCACAAATGCCACCTTGATGTTAGATGTCGACAAATGATGCCGTGTAGAGGACCAAGTGACCCACGCCCACCACAGGCTATAATAGGACTTTTCGATCTCTACCTGTCCGTCGATGCATTCAACTCACTGAACGTCTGCAACTATTTAAACTAAAAACAGCCTAATAGTCCGGTCGAACTGCGGAGAAGTTCCCTGAACATCATCGGGCCTGAATTCTGTCTGGCTTAAATCTTGCACAGAACACCACTTACACCCTAAGGTCGCCACCGTTGCAGCCCCGGTCGAAAAGGTCATTGGTGACTGGGTGTGAGGATATCCTGTTTGAGCAATTTGAACCGAGCTATAAACTGGCTTTCAGCAGTTGCCTCCATTGTGCTCCTGAACTGGAACAAATGTTACGAGTGCCGTGACGTAAAACATGAAAATGATATTTATTTGGGTTCTAATAAGTGCGCTTACGTGATTATCGCATAATAACTATAGAGTTACCGATGTTATCGGATTGCTTATTTTTATCGGGCTGATCATTGCGACAAGTAGAAATTGTAGAAAACGGTAAAGGCGAAGACGTGCGGAGACAAAAGTCATGGGATTTTTGTAGCCAGTACTGGCTATGGACTACCTAAGGGTCAGAATTTATATTTAAATATGATATCGTTGACTGGTAACAGGACTGTGGAACGTCTCAATAACATCAGTCATTAGCATTACAGAAGCATGGGTGCAGAGAACATATTAATAATACGTAGTGATACTACCCTCTTAATGACTTTCATAGCCGTTACTGTGATTACCTTAAAAAGCTAAATGTGAACTTAATAATAAAATTATCCAAAAATTACTTATATATTGATTTAGCTGTTTATTAAGCATACAGTAATGTTTTTATGTTGCTTCCAGATGCTTGGCCATCAACCTTGAGACGGTGTCGAACCAAGACTTCCCGAACTTTCCAAACCTGAAGTCCTCAAATAGACGACTCAACAGACAGCGTTATCTATGAATCTTTTTCAAAGCACAGCTCGTTCGACATACTCGTTGGTGTCCTTCTAGGAGTGCTTACTAATGTTATATTATCAACAGCCGCAAGTATCTCAACACAGGTAGTATTCCATATGACGCGCTCCATTTTTACCTCACTCTGCACAATTCTAAGACACGACTAAGGAACGAAAGAGGTTGGCTAAGGACCCAGTTCTATTTCACTAAAAGAGCAACTAAGTTAAAACAGCATAGCACGTAAGGCGACAAAAAAAACAACCGTTTTTATCGGCTCACAGCTTGAGCACAATTGAGCAGAAATCGGCAATGTCTGAAACGAGCACCTCAATGTCGGAATCGAGTTCGAAGACTTGCATGGATGCTATATCTCCAAAGAAAAGACACCCAAATATAATGGCGGGTGAACGAGGCGATGAAGATCCTAATCTCTCATCCAAATCGAGTGAACTTTCAGTGGATCCAAGTGAAACCGATTCGCTGGTGAAGCTTGCACCTTTGCCTACCGAAGTCAACTCAAGCGGAAGCAGTTCAGATGCGGCCACCTCGAAGGCTCAGGCCTGTGCAGGTCTTTCTAACTGTGTTTTGGAACTGTGTCCTACTTGCAACCCGGACAGTAGTCTTTCCACTATCATTAGCCCGACGTATAACTGCTGCAAAAACGGCCCACTTCATCACAAGGAGAGAAGCGCACTGCATAAGCACAGCAGAGCCGTTCAGGTTAGTAAAAGGATAACGTATCCATGTTATATCAAGTATACAGTCAAAGAAGAAAATCGTTTTAATTTCCAAAATGTAATTTACCATAAAATTCTGACACTTACAAAGGTTATAAGTTAATATAGCATAGAAATAAATCTTTGGTAGCTGATGTTATCCCGCTAAACCGTGCTGGTCTTTAGGTTTCATAGCTAAAAGGTTGTTGGCAGCTATGCTAAACCTAACCTTCATAGGTAAGCTGGAAGAAAGAAAGCCACGCGTTCACGTGTACCGTAGCCTGTATGAGCTCGTCGGAGCCACTCGAGTACCTGCAAATCATCTGGGGCTATGATTACACAAAACGTTGACGGATTTTGCATGTCAGATAAATGGGTAAATATATCTGACAAAGGGACTACAACAGAAGATGTTTTGACAATTTTTACCGAAATAGTTGAATGACAGCGAACTAACAATAACGTAGGCTTTCCGGCTCGACACCTGACGTCTAACGGGCCAGATTTGGAAAGTTGCTATAACTGCAAAATGTAGAGGCAAAATAGTAGCTGCATTGGCGTAGATAACCCGGGTTCGGTATTTCTCAACAATTAATTATACTGCACATATGGGCCTATATTAATGTCAAGCATAAAGTAATATCAAGGCGTTCTTAGTGCTATGGTTTATCACTTTGTTTATCCAGTTGGCATAAATATGTATGTTTTTTTTTGTATTTAAGCCACCTGCGCGTTCCATTTATGAAGCCTTATAATCGGGTGTTAGTAAAAGATAGCGAGGTTACCACCGAATATGTTCCACTTTGTGTAGCGCTGCGGGTTAAGATACAGACCGGCTGGACATTAGCAATCAAAGCAAAAACAGGTCTTGAATCTCTGTCATAGAGAGAACGGCACAATGCCACGAACATGTATGCAGCAGTTGTTATAAACTTCGAGAAAGACCGACAAGAGCAACAATTGAAATGTTTATTTTGAACATTTACCGAGCCATGCTGTGCTGACCTTACTGGGTCACCTTTCTTGGGGCCGGCAGGAAATAGATGATTCGATCGGGATATGGAAGAGGAGGAGCCCGGTAGCCTTAAAATAGGACGAAATTTAAAGCAAGTTTAAACAGCGGTACACTGCTGTCCTCCTGATGGACTTTTCAGACTCATTGAGCAGTTAACGTTGCGTAAAGTTAGAACATACAACGCACAAGATTTCCTACCCACTATTTATACAGTGTAAATGGTTATCTTCAGTTTTTGTTTGCATATAATTAATATTTAAGCTCCAGACAAATCTGCATAACATTTTTTCCTTGAAAATGACAATAAATTACTGATAGCTGTGGGCAACTACCTCACAAATTTCAGCTTTTAAACTTTTCAGGGTCGTCGTATATTTTATCTCGCTTTCACAAAAAAGTCCATTGGCATGAGGTTCGGGGAACATACAGGGTGTTCTATGGCACCCCTTCGTCCGATCCATCTGTTTCGAACAGTCTCATCAAGATATGCTTTTGTATTACGTATAATAGTACAGACACGCATAATATGTACACATGTAGTAATACGTAGATGCTTCGTTCTGTTATAAATATAATTCGCTATGTTTACCAAAATCTTTCTGAGTGCTTGATAAAGCAGACGCATGGCGGTGAATTCAAGTGACTGGCACAAGTTAACTGTATTGCCAAAAAAAATAGGTCGATCAGCCCCTTGCTTGAATTACCGCACCGCGTTGTCCTGCTAAATTAAAATGGTGCATCTGGGTACCATCTGGGTTGACGGTTGGCCAGAGAATGTAATGATGTAGATTGTACCATTAAATTTTACATGTAGCTGTATAGCTTTCAACAGTCTTTCCGAACCGAAGACCACGTCTTTCCTGGTACGGTTTGCAGAATGGTTTTGCGCCGGTTGGATCGTCTTCATTAGTAGCATTGATTATTGTTGGCATGGAATCTTTCCATTTACAGTGTCCTAAAAAGCGGTAGACCCTTGATCCAGTGATGCCAAGCTTACAATTCCATCATCTTAGATACTTTTGGCATGTTTTGCCAAACAACTTCCTATACTCCTTTTTGCAGTGATAAAGTTCGTAGATGTCCATGGTTTTCGGAGTGTTCTCTATAAATACGTTCTCACTCCTGTATTTTATCCGCTTAGCTAAAAGCGCGTAAGTGAATCCTTTAGAACCTTTCTACAATACTATTTATGTAATTTTTTTATATTTTTATAGTTTCGATACCGCCTTAAAATAAATTTTCCTCATTGAAAGAGTGTTCATCTATGATTTTCGCTTGTGCTCTGAAGGCGAAGACAAATAAGGTTATACATGTGTTGTACAAGAACATCCTGTATGGACGTTTAGCTTGCAATGCTTTAAGCGGTACTCAGAACAGAGTAAACTATTGTCATTTTCTAGGATATTTGTATATGTTACTAGCGTATATGTACGAAGATTTATCTGGACGCCTCTAATGCATGGACCGCCATCTTGATTCGCTTGGTTGACCTGGTAACCGAAGGACTACGAAAGATCGAGTGTCCTTCTATCGACTGAACAGTAGATTGCCTTCTGAAGCACTTGAGCTGCCGGCTAATTACCGTCAATAACAACAATAGCAGCTGAAGTAACAGTAACACTATGTTTCTCTTACATGAGTTTGGACCGGTCCATACAATGTCTGCTTTTATCAACGAATGGGAAAGATAATTGTCTTTCCAATATGACCCACCTTAGTATCTATTGACTGCGCAAAAACTATTACGACGAATAATTCGTTGCAAGTCTCGACGGTTGCGTAGGGGCCTTTAGCTTCGCTTCAAACAATTTCATTCTGTATATGGCTTTGTTCAGTTACATGTTCGGATAAATTAGAAACCCACGGCGAACTTCTTGCATAAATCTGTCCTTTAATAGTTATAGGATAAAGTTATAGGATAGTTATAAACAAAGTTGACGCCATCCAACCATTTGGCACTTTTGTTCCATGTTTCGACATGTACATATCTATGTATTTTCGAATAACTCGAATAATGAAATAAGCTTGAAGTGACCAAAAAAATACTGCACAAAATCAAGCAAAGAGCCTAGAGAATATGTTTCGCATCAAATTGTACGACCCATACCTCCGCCCCGTACGCTTTCTTCTGTACCCCATCAAGCTTCGAATTGTATTTCTAAATGGCTCTGAACGCTCAGTGGCATCAATGCGTGCAACTAAACATGTACGCCATTCTTTCCACGAACGAATACAACGCCACCGATGTATTCTATGGCGGCTGCTCTCTTCGCAATCAACAACAGCCTCGCCACCGCGAGGGCATCTTTCTGGACGGTTTCTGGGTGCGATTCCGAAAGTCCCCGCTTTTCAGCTAGACTATTGACTTACATGACAGGGACCGCTGACCACACCGCAGAAGGCCAGTTATCATGTTGTCCTTTTTAAGCGAAGGCTAAGGATTACGGTAGCTGCCCCAGCGGACCTTTGCCGGCATCGGTGGGCCGATTACTTTAAAAGAGGTCGATGGCCGTGTTTTTCTCAGGCGCGTTCTACGATCCCGTTTAGTTCCTTTAATGTAACTACCTGTTTTGTTCTGGTTAACAGCACAATATAGTAATTTTTCATAAATGTACGGACTGTGTTTCTGTTCAGGAGTCTGCATATATACAATAGCCCCTGCAAAGCTTAGAAAGTTTTTTATCTTAGTTTTTTTAGAAGTTCATTTGAGACTGTAGTGTGATGATGTGAGACGATTCTGTAATTGAAAATATCTTCGAAATATAGCGTAGTTTGTAGCTTCCATTACGAGGAACACATGGGGGATTGCAATCGGTATTTGAGTGTGAAACGGTGTCTATTCAACAATTTCTACTTCCTCTCACACAGGATATCCAGGTGTGTGCGTTAAGCGTTCTAAATAAAAGCATATCAGTTAGGGAACACCTTTGACGAAAACCGGTGGGCGCACGTAAGTAAACGAGTTGTTGAAATGACAAAGACGAATCATACGTAACTATCACGCTGCAGACTTGTTGCCGGCGTATCGCCGATCAAAATGCAGTTTCGCCCTCTCTTGCCTCTGCGTTCGTGTTCAGTACGGATGCGCCCGCCATGCCTGCTCAGGACTGATGCAGACGGCAGGGGCTGTTTTTGTAAAGAATTTGTTTTTGTCTGAACAGAGAATGGCGAAGGATGAAGAGCATGTAGAAGAACAATTAATTGTAATTGACTGTAACGTTGTGGTAATGACGAGTGGGAATAATTCTCCGCCTATTTGCCTGTAACGATAGTCAAATGATATTGATCTTATACGGTGTACAAACGCAGTCGGCGTCCCGGAGGTCTGATCATGAATTTGGGGCAATTTTTCTTTTTTGGAAAAATTTAGGGCAAATTGTCTAAAAATGAAAAGCTAGCCTTTGAACAATAACCCTTTTTCTTTGTTCGCGGTCAGGGCATAAGGGGTATTATGCGCTTATGAGTATATATATATATATATATATGTATATATATATATATATATATGCTGAGATGAGGCAAGTTTTGGTTGAGATACTGTAAATAGAATTTTTAAACCTTATACCAGCTAAATGGCTGCTAAATTGTCGCATCTCATTAGGACCTTTATGCATTATCTCAAAGCAAGACCAAGTCGAAATCATCAATTGGTTCTGAAGTTGACGCAAATAAATTTTCCCTTAATATTTTTTGTAATTTACCTCTTATTCGGTAATATATCGCGAACTGGGTGCATAATCAGCGTCAGCTGAACCGCGTGCTCTTATAGTGGTGTGTTTGTCTTTCAAAAACCAACATATGTGTAAGACAATGCCGTTGATATCGATTTAGACACCGATTAGTAAGCGTTCGAGCGCGCTTTGTGCACCCTCACGTCACGGTCATCGTTGCCACCGCCATCATTTCCCTAATCATCATACAGTTCTTATTGTGAAGTCGCAGGTATGTTATTCTGTATGATAATCCACATCCTCCACTCTTTTCTCAGA